ATGGTGTGGTGGTGTGGTGTGTCCCAAGACCCCCCTCCTGCACCCTGGCTCTTGCCTTTCCTGCTTCCTTGTCCTTCAAGGACTGCTGCTGCATGGTGCTGCCATTGCACCTCCCCTGCAGGTTTTGTTTGATCTGCTATACTGAACCTGAAAAAGGGCTCCTGGCCAATTTAGACTACATAAGTGGGCAAGTATTTGTTATGCCTGTAGACCTCCGTCCAGTTTCAGGATTAGGGTGGGAGGACAAGGGAGCTAACCCCATACAGATACTTCACTGGACTGTCAGATGCTGATGGGGCAGGATGCCCTGTCACACACCAGAATCTTGCCCTGTAAGGTTATCTTGGGTAGACATCCTTCAGGAGCTAAACTCTGCAGCTTAAGCCCTGCAGCTCCAGTAAGGACAGACTTTTTCAGTGACATTGCCTAAATCCTGATGTGCTGTACAGGTTTTTCTTGGGGGGCAAGACAATGGAAGGTGAGCTGGACCTACAGGAAAGGTGGGCTGATATCTACCCAGCTTTCTCTGACAGTCTGCTAACACTAATGCTTTAATATAATGCGGGATATTTATAATTATGGTCAAATTGCTGTTTTGCTTGATTGTGTATAAGTAAAGCACCTATAAATTAAAAGGGTACTTTATGCACACTTGTGAGATTATAGAACAAGGTTTGTTCTGGAGATCTCAGAAAATTCAGTGTGTTAGAACACAATTGACTTTCTGAAGCCTGATGCCTAGACATACTGACAGCCATGCTGAAGGCATGGCTGCTCACTTGGGAGAGGTCTTGTGTGAAGCAGACAACTGCGTGGGTTGGAAGCTCCTCTTGAGCACAAGAGACCAGAGCATTAGAGGAGGCCTCTGTGTGAAACTTCTGTATCTAATATATTGATTTTAAAGTAAAATCATGCCTTCTCATTTGTTTCCAGATGTATCCTAAAAGGCAACTGCTATGTCTATGAGGACTATTTTAATGTAAAATTCTTAGCCTTGGCGTGTCAGTACCTCCCACGCAGCATCCCCTTTTATTGTCTACATAAAAGTGCCAGGCTTAAAGTGCTCATCTTGAGAACATACAAAGATAGCTGTAATTTGGCAACAGGTTTAAAATCTCCAAGTAACTGTTTCCTTTTCCATCACACTCAGTATAGATGTTGTTCTGCAGAATGACTTGAGGTTTTGCATACAGAGGTGAGTGTGTGAAGTTCTTGCAGTTCTGGCTTACTTCCTGCATGTAGGAATCAATTCCTAATTGTATAATGAGGTATATTAGATTTAATAAAAAAAAATGTAGAAATGGTTCATTCATTTATTGTTCCAGGCTACTCTAGTCAGCTATGATTCATGTACATTTAAGTTTACACTGGTGTGGTTGGTGGCTCAGTGACTATGACGCTATTAGTCTCCTGCTCTTTGATTCCTACACAATCAGTCCAGTAACCACAACCATGATGGATATTTTTGTTTTTGTTACAAACCTGTCAAGTAAAGGGATATTTTTCTAAGGAATTGCTCCCTAGGAGAAGCCACAAGGGAGCAAAACAGCATTCAGTCTGACCTTGTGCTATTGAGCTAGGACAATATACTGCAGAAGAAAAGCTGTCAGCATCCTATTGTGGTAAATCTTTGCTGGTCCTCAGTGCCTCACAGCAATGAAAATCTGTGCCAGACAGATAGCTCGCTTTCTAATATCTCTCTTTGCTTATTTGTATCAGTGGCCCAGTATAAAATATACTATTCCTGTAAAGACTCAAAGCAGATGCTCTGCATGCAGAAAGACCTGTCCAAGAACCCTTCCTCCATAACACGAGCCAGAACTGAAGCTCAACTGAAAGTATATGTGCATCTGTTCCTGGTGACAGGGCCACCAAAGTCTTCCTGATGCACTGCACCTAGCTGAAGGTCATCTCCAGTTATTCTGGAAGCACTCTGATGTGGTGAGTCCAGAAGAATTTTGCCATTGAGTGCCTGTTTTCTCTGCTTGTAACTTCTGCTGCTAATGTGAAATAATGTACTGTTATTACTTTAGCAGATGCTTCTATTTAGCCCAATGGGACCTTTTTTCCTCATTTCCTCTTCTTTCTTCCTTCATCCTCCCCAAGATTTCATGAGCAAATGGCATCAGAGCTTAACCCCAGCACCCTGTCCTTCAGTGGCAGCAAGCTTGCTGTCTGATTAGGTGATAGGGGATTCAAGCTGGTTTGCTCTAGAATTTGGGACATTAAATTGCTTGATACTGCATGTTGAAGGTTTTTTTTGTGTGTGTGTTTGAGTGCTGTTTGCAAAGACAGTTAGATATATACAGATTTAGACCTCATGGAAAACCCATTGTGTGTGTAATTCATTATGCAGGCAGTCATTTGGTAGGCAAGAAATTAATTCTGGAAAGACAATGTACTATTTCAAGTCTGTTAGCATTCATAAAATATCCTGATGTTGTTCTGTGTAAAAACTGAGTGTTTTGTTTTTCCATATAATAAAATGTTTTCAGTTGTTAACCCAAGGCTGTTCAAAGCAACTAGGAAATGTGCAAGTAGCTTTTCTTCACCACTCCTTTCCTAGCCTCTACTTCCAAAGTACCCTAAAGGTAAGGTTAATTTTCACTTCTTGTGTATAAAGTCCCTGCCCATGGCAGGGGGGTTGGAACTAGATGATCTTAAGGTCCTTTCCAACCCTTACTATTCTATGATTCTATAAAGTCAAAAACATGTTTGTGCTCTGCTGAATCGAGGATTTTAATGCTTGTTATAACCCATAAGCATGTACCTGCTGGAGGTAATGGCCAAGTCAGTGTGGTGTTGGGCAGTACAGTTGAAAAAGGAGACAAGGAGTCACTTGTGCATGAGCAAGTGTCCTGGGTTCAGCAGTAGCAGTCATTTTTTCTCCTTCTTAGTAGCTGGTGCAGTGCTGTGGTTTTGACTTTCGGCCTGGGAATAGCACTGATAACACCGATGTTTTTAGTTACTGCTCAAATGTTTTAGTCTGACCAAGGACTTTATGAGCCTCATGCTCTGCCAGGGAGGAGGGGAAGCCAGGAGGAAGCAGAGACAGGACACCTGACCCAAACTGACCAAAGAGGTATTCCATACCACAGCACATCATGTGTGGGATGTAAACTGGGAGCTACTCAGAAGGGCTGGCTCACTGTTCGATCAGCCTGCGTATCGATGGGTGGTATTTTATTCTCTTCCCTTGTTATTTCCCTTACTATTATTATTATTGGTGATAGCAGTAGTAGTTTATGTTATACCTTAGTTACTGGACTGTTCTTATCTCAACCCATGGGAGTTACATTCTTTTGATTCTCCTCCCCATCCCTCTGGGAGCGGGAGTGAGGGAAGAAAGATGGGGGAGTGAGCGAGAGGGCTGCATGGTTCTGATTTACAGCCTGGGCTTAAACCACAACAAGAAGACACGTTATGTAAGTGCATGTATTCAGAGTTACCCCCAAATAGACCTCCCTTCCAAAATCAGATCAACCTGCTGTAGTTTCTGTCCAGGGTTATGATAGATAGAAGTTGTATATCTCTTAGTAACAAAAATACACATTTGTTCAGCTAGGAATTGATAAACTCCATATGAAAGTTGCAAAGAAACAAAGTTGTGACTCCTGTGATGCTATTTAGTCTCAGTTCCCTTGGGAAACTGGGCACATGGATGATCACTAGCTGTTTCCTAACGCTACAATTTTCTTCTTGCTCCCTTCCATTCTGCCCTCCCTCTCAAAAAGGTACTTTTCCGAAAGTAAGCAACTTTGTGATTTATCTCCCAAAGGAAAGCCTATCTGTTTAAAAATCTTTATCAGAACGTTGTTCAGTTTTCCTTACTACTCGACCAAAGATTATTAGTTGACCCTGTTTAGGGCATGAGCTATTTAAGAAATAAAGAGATGTAGGATGAGGGTTTGTTTTTTTTTTTTCCTTAATTTTAATATTAATGAGCATTTAATGTGACTATTATCTCTAAAGAGAGTAGGAACATAATGAGATAGTAAATTTGTGTGTTGAGAATTTACTGAAGCAGAGCAATTTTTGTAACCAATTTGACTTTAGGCAAAATAGACAAATTGATGCCATGTGACAGTGTATTATGTATCAGCCAGTGCTACAAAACATCTTAAGCCCTGGGAAATGTCTGTGCAGGGCAGGTGAAGTCTTGAGCTAGAGGACAGGGAAAGAGGGGAAATCTGTATGGTGATGTGCAGATCACCTCACTGGAGCAAATTTAACGTTTCGAAGTTGGCATACAGCCCATTTCTGCCCCATCATTCACTGTGGAGCTGAAGGGAAAAATCCCAATTTTACCTGCCCATGAGAAATTGTACCAGCCCACAGGAACGCAGCAGATAATAGAGGAAAACCTGTGCGTAATTTTGTTGAAAGTTTTCCTCCTAGCAAGGTTTTTAATCTTTCCTCACCTCCTCCAGGGAAGAACATATGTTTCTATTTCTGAAGTCCACAACAGCCTCTCTTATGAAGGTCTAAGTAGAATTATTAAAGTAAAAGGTCTCAAAGTCACTTTATGTAGCTCATCAAAGAGAAAGTATTGATTTGAACAGTTGCTAAGCATGCACATAGTGCAGTGACATTGATAGTGTCACTTTAGCTGATGAAAGAGATCAAGTTTTTAATGGGTAGAATACAAGCCTTATCTTTCCCCTCCCTCTCCCAATTAGTCAGGGGTGGACACACAAGCAGGGCAGAACTGTAACAAGGGCCATCATGAGCCCTGGATGGTGCAGAGATGGTCCAGGAAAGAGAAAGACATACTACAACACCACTTAAACCAGACCTGGTTGCTGGGTTTGAGTTTAAATGGAGCCCGGGATAGTGAGTGAAGTGTATGGGTAGTGTCTCAGCTGAGGCCACGCAAGGCAATCATAGCCTACAGCTGCCCTCAGGGCCCCCCTCAAAGAGGCACTTAGTTTTAAATAGGATTTAGTGTCAGGGAGTTGTCTGGTTTCTGTTATGGAAAAGATCTGGTTAGATAGCTTTTTATTCCTGTGGGCACTGGGGTATTTAGGGACTGGTGATAGTTCTTTGTGGACCTGTGCCAGTCCTCTGCAAAGATAACACATGGTAGCGCCAGCAACGTGGATTCTTCAGGTAAGAGCAGTACACTTGTTTCTATTTTAAGTGCAGCACTACCCTGCAGAAATCTGTGCAGTGTCCCCTGAGTGTCCTTAGGGGCAGTGGGGAGATGAGACTGACAGATAGATCTCATGAAAAGAGCTCTGCTCTGATACCTCCTTGACTGGCGCAGAAAAGCAGCTGGAATGCATGTGAGGGGCGTTATGCTTGGTTGTACAAATAGATGCTTCCAAAACACATTCAGAACTTTTTTCTTGCTGAATAGCTCCAATAAGGGCACTGAAGTAGAGCATATAAATTTCAATGGACACGATGTAGTCAAGCTGAAAAAGTCATTCTTCTATAAGTCAATAATGTAATATCCAGGATTTAGCACGTGCAGATGCAGTATTAAAGTTCAACAGAAATAGTTCCAGTGACCTTGAAAATGGGCTCTTCTATGGTGAAGATATAAGCTGTACTGCTGGAATGACCTGCGGAATCAGCAAATGTCAGCAGCTGTTGAATGCAGCTTTTAGCTTTATAATGTACTTGAAAGTCTAATCAATAAGCCTGACTTTGGGAAATACAACCATTTTCTCCCTCCCTCTGCAACAATTATGCTTTATATTCCCTTTCAAATCACTTAAAAAGTACTTTTACTGCTTTTCAAAATGTTGAATCGGTAGCTATGAGACTGCTAGTTTCTTGTTGTTCTAGTATTGAGAACTTCCAGATAAATATTTGCAGTATAGGTACATCTGTGCTTAAAAAAAAAAAAAAATAATTAAAAAATGCTTCCAAAGATTCCCCTGGGGTTTGGCTTCGGGTGCTGCTAAGGAACAAAAAAGTATAAATACCAGCACGTGATGGGGTCTTGTTACGAATCTGATGTTTGCAGATAAAGGCTATAGATAAAAATGCATGCCGGTAGCTAACTTCTTTAATGCTGATATAGATGAAAACAGACACAGGAAACCTGGGTTTGCACGAGGTCTCTTACAGGCAATGACAGTCTCTTGATAACTGTTTGCAGCTAGTGCATTTGAGGTTAAAGTCTTTCATGTTTGCTCCTCGATGCTTTAACAGGCCAGCTCAGGTGTTACGCAGCTTTGTAAGGATTCCTAGCCAGGAGCTGCACACGATCACAGCATTATGAGGGACTTGGAAAGCTTTACATTTGGAAAGCTTTCAAGCCTTTCCAAAGCTTTCTATTAATGAGCGCAATTGCGCTGTGTCCCTGTGGGTACATAGGCTGTTGCATGACCCTGCTGTGAGCTGATGACTACCATTCCCACTGTGTTAATTGCTGAAAAGCCCCCTGAGGTTTTAATGGGAATCCTTGCAGAGTAAAGTGCTAGCTAGGTAAAGGAAGGAGGCAGCCCCCTAGTTAAGACCCATCACCTTCTGTCTCTACATGATAGAGAAATGTAGGGTTAACTCATACTGTTATAGCTATTGCTAACAGGTGATTTCTGGGAGGATGAAAAGGAGAAGCAATATTCACGGACTTGGGGTGGGGAGAGTCCCTGGGTGCTGCTGCAGTTGTTATTGACTGCCTTCCCTCCCCTTCTCATATACTGTCTGGCACTGGGCAGCAAAACCTTCAAAGTGTGAAGTTGAAATGTTTCATGTAGGAGATCTTAATACTGGTCTCAGGTTTTTCAAAGGTCTCGCTTTCAATCTCCTTAGAAAGTACTGCAAAATACTGAAAGTACCCAGTAGACTGGCCGATGTCTGTGCATTCTGATGGCCTTTCTGTTTGTTTTTTTTGTTTGCTTGTTTGGGTTTTTTGCTTGTTTTCTGTTGACCTTTTTTATTTTTATTAATAAATACATTCATGTGCACACAGATCATCAGTCTGTCCCTTCTTAGAATGATAAAATTAGTGTTTGTGTCTATTTTTAGTTTGAACACAGACTCTTCTTGGATAGCTTTCCTTTGAAACAAAGGAGATTAATAGTATCATATTTTTTTCTTTAACATACCATAAGGGATTTTATGCTTATTACTCCAAACATCTGGAAAACACTTCAGAAATTCTTTGTTAATTCCCTTAACAAGGTTCCTATTTAAGCACAGGTCATGTATTATGAAACCATTTCTGAGTGAGTTTAGCCATGTCGCTGTTTGTTATCTTTTGTGTTCTCATTGCTAGTTTCTTGGTGGTAACTGAGCAACAATAATCTTGGAAGTGTCACAGTCTTGAGACTGATTCCTAAATTTTCTGGAATAAGTTCTGCACTCTGTTAACAATGTCTGGAGTCACTGGATTTGTGCTGGTGTAGCAGCCAGATATAACTGTCTCTGAGGGCCAGATAGAACTTGTTTGAAGCCTGCTATATTAAGGTCAAATCAGTAGTAAACTTCATTAAGGATCAAATAGTAAAACTTTTAACTATTTTACATGAGATTTTGTTAATGTGCAGCTTGAAAGCTCCCAGGTAGGATGCATCTGGATCTGGTGATTAAGCTGTGAAGTTTCAGCTTTATCATTTGAGGCATTAGCTTTGACTCAGCACTCTTACTTCAGACTAGCGATGTAGAACGTTGCCTATGTACATCTGAAGCTCCACAGTGGCTGTAACTTTGCAAAAGTACTGTTGACAGGATGTTTGAAGACTTCAGACATGTTTGCTTTTATTTGTCTATGGCTGCTGTCAGCTGTTTTTAAATCGTGACTTTTCCTGTAGAGGAGGACTATATTTTCTCATGTCTGTGTCAAGGTTCTGAGGGCAGAGACTCTTGTGATACAATCCTAAACTGTTGCATGCTTCTCAAGAGTAACACTATTTTGGTGAGTCTCAGAGACTCGCGGTTGTTTCCCTTCAGAATCCAGGGAGGATAGAGTGATACAGCAAACTGTGTTCCTATTTGTCTTTTGCATTTATTTCTGCATAGATCAAAGGGTTTCTGTTAAAGGCTCAGTGCATTTAATAAAAAGCCAGCTGTGTACATTAATGTGGGTGTATGGGAAGACTCACTGGTGTTGTCACCTCTTCAATACTCAAGGCAAGATCTTGTGAGAGCCTGCCAAGTGGGCTGCTGGAATCTGCAACATTACAGCTCCACGTGTAAGTGCTGTTAGTATTGTCAGAAAGACACAGCACCTACAGCAGCCTTTAAAAAGGTGAATAAACAGCTGATTTTTATTTTTTTTTACAATTCATGGATATGAATGGATGGACCCAGGTCTGCTAATGGAAAGCAGAACCTTTCCGAATGAGATCATTGCTTCAGAGGCTTGGTTACGTAGCTAGTTATTACCAAGTGTAAGCTTTACTCCTGTGAAGAAATAAGCTGCTTCTTTGGTACTATGTTTCTTTGTGCTCAAGCTCCAGCTATTCATGTTTGAAAATGATGATGTGTTCAGTGGCACATACGAAATAAATCAGTCCCAGGAGATAGTCATCCCCATCACCTAATATTGTGATCAGAGTTACTGGGATCTGGAAGGCAGAAGGGGAGACGAACTTTTAATGTAGGTGTTGCTATAATTTACAGGGGAGCTCTGGTAATTTATTTTTTTTTTTAAATAAAAGTCTTCATTTGGATTAAGTTTCTTGTACACGCTGAAATGTCACGGCCAAGTGGCGACTAAGTCTTGTTTCATCATGGTCTGACAAGACTGAAACCCAAGCAAAGGAGAAGGGTAGATATTTTAAAATCAATACTTAAAACAAATCTGATGCACATGGCAAACATCCCGAGGTGTGGGGAAGCGCCACTTAGGAGAGCAGTACCTAGTGTGGTAACAGGATCTAAATCTCTCAAGTCCACGTGAAATGCTCTGCTAGGCTTTTGGTGCTCCAAGTGTAAACATGAGATCTTAAAAATGAGTGTGTTCCTTCTATCTTGAGGAAGAAAAATAAAAAGAATTTTCTTAAAGCTAAAAAATACCGCTTCCCCTGAAACTTGTATTTGTTTTCAGTAGACATTGTCTTAACTACCATTTTACAGTGTTAAGCTGTAACTGTGATTATCTGTCTTAGAGAACATAGGAATTCACTTAACTAAGTGAAGTCAAAGATCTTTATTTGTGCAAAATAGGTTTACTATGAGCTCTGGACTAGCTGTCTGCTTGTGATCTCTTTCTGTTTGAGAGTGCTTGAGGAAATCATTACATTGTACGTAGATACAAAGTCTTTGTTAGAATAATTTTGTTTGTTTCCTGTAAAGGGAATGCTTTCTCAACAGATCAACAGGTAATTTAACAAATCTAGCATAACCCTTTTTAACTTTAAAGAATCTTTACTGACTTAATAGTGTTTGGCATGATTTTCCTGACGTTCATGAATTCTAGAGTCTTATATTTTTAATGGAAACCTGAAGATTACAGGGATATGTTTCAAGAAGGGAATTTAGCAACTAAGCAGTTTCTAAATTCTGTGCACAGGAGATCTTAACTACTGAATGTGTAAACTAAGATGAATTAAAACTTTGTAAAATCAAATAGCCTATCCTATAAATGCTTACTAGTAGATGTACTTTGTATAGGTAAAGAATCTTGTTGACTGCTAGAGGGATGCTTGAAAGCTGATGGAATTATTTTGCAGGACTGAAGCTTAAATAGCAATGGAAGAATCTAGGGATTGGTCTAGTTTTAGACTTGATATCTCTGACTTCCTCAATCTAAACAAGGGTGTTGCCTTTAACTGAGCCAGGAAGCAGCCTTTGTTCCAAGGCTAGACTGAGGATGAGAACTTGAGATCCAGGTATACATCTTAGTGTGGTAGTCCCATCATATCTGGTAGAACATATTTATAGTATAAAAAGCCTAATGTGAAGCTTGCTGTAAACCAGGAATAGTGGAAATGCTCATATTCTGGAGCATGCCAATAGTACACAGTGTTATAAGGACAGGGATCTTAAATGTACTTCAGATTTGATGTTTGACTACTATATCAGCTTTAGGAATCAAAACAGTGTTGGATCCTTTGGGTGTTGGATAGGTCCTTTAATAAGTAAACCTTATTCAATAGAGGGTGTAAGAACTAGATGTGAAGGGGTAAAGATAATGTTCATGAAGCGGTTTGCTTGCTTTTAAAATAGAAGAATGGGAAACATCAACAGAGAAAGGGTACGTTAAATAAGGATTTATTTCCTTGACCATGTGGGTGTAATACGGTGATATGTCTCCATTTGGTCCCCCAGCTTTGAAATACTGAGGCACTCAGGCGTCCTCCTTTGTGTGATTGTCCATTTGCAGGGCATAAGTGCTGAAGTCCTTCATGCTCTATTACAAATACGGATATTAGGTCATGAAAACTACTGTCCTACTTGTAATTAATTTACTTCCATTCATCAGAGACTTGAAACATTTATGGCACAGAACAGCAGTTGGCCACAACACTACTGAAACTTATGTGGACAGAGGATCTGGCCCAGTGCCCTGAGCTGCTTGTGAGTAAAAAAATTAGGTTAAAATTGTTAAGCCCTTTCCTTCTGTGTGTTATTAAAGGGAAATATTTTGGCCTGTGTTATCAGTTAGCTAACTTGTCAAATGCTTGATTTTTAGCTTAGTGTCATTGGGGTATATATGAGAGTTTTTGTTATTCTAATTCTTCCAAAGTAGTGCATGCTATTCCGCATAGGAAGAGTTTAGTTTTCAGTACTTGAGTGTTCTGTCAGTGGGAGACCAGAAACTCTTGATGTGAGCAGGCAAGACCCCCAAATGGAAGTGAAAGTAATCTGCATTTCATTGAGCGTGTTACTTGTTCCACCAGGTCATGTAAAACTTGTTCTTTATTTCCATGCATTGCTTTTTGTCTTGGGTACCTAACCTTAGTTTTGCTTTCAGTAACTGAAAGATGCTGAGAATCTCATTTGCAAACCTCTGACTTTGATGCTCTTGAAATCATTCTCTCTGGGTCAGTGCCGCTTCTCCTTTGTGGCAGTGAGTGTACTTCAGTTAACAGGTCTGTACTCTGCTGTATGGTCACTGCATCAAGCCAGACTCACTACTGTGCTTCTTATATGTTGGTCTTGTGGCCCTGCCAGGCAGTAAAACACACCCTCCCACCATGTTAGTTACTCAGCAGCTTCTATGTCAGTTCAGTGACTCCAGTAAAGCCTTTACGTGCATCTACTGCATCTCTGTGGAAGTTGGGAAACAGAAAGGGAAAGTACAGTTTCCTCCTGCTTCTGTCACCAGTACCTACAGCACTGGTCCACCAGACTTGCTTGTCTGCTGCTTTGCTGTCAGATTTCGTGCATAGTATGTAATTTTTAAAAATAGCAAAGACAGAGTAGTAGGCAGCAAGAAAAGGTGTGGAGGGCTAACGCATGCAGGAAAAATATAAAGCTAATTAGAAAAGCTTGGGAAAAGCTGGGGGGTTGTGAATGACACATTCAGGATGAGAAGGAAGATAGTGAAGTGTTAGTCAAAGGGATGACTATAATTGGATACAATCTCCTCTTGGGTAGTTGGGTGAGATGGTTAAATATGCAGATCTTTCCTTGAATTACACCCTCCTTGCTATATCGCTTATTAGACAGAATGATTTAATCCTGAATGAGGAAGAGTCCTAGCTATAAAAAAAAAAAGCAAAGCAACAAACCTCCTCCCCCAGCAAAGATCCCCAACAAAAATGGACAAAAAACCTCCCAGCAAAACAAACTCCATCTTATTTCCTCCATATTACAACAAACTCTTGATATCTTTCCTTATATACGGTGTGTTTGTACAAATTAGCAATGTTATATTGTGCGTAAACCCGGAGATCAGAGTTAGGTCTGCCAGGAGAAATCTTGAGTGTTTTCTGGTGCTTGAGTTCACTGTCTGCTTTTTTAAAATTTTAAATGATATTTTAATTAATCTAATAGAATATGTCTAGTTGGAACAGACCTACCATGGTCATCTAGTCTAACTGCCTGACCACTTCAGGCCTGACCAGAAGTTAAAGCACAGTATTAAGGGTGTTTGTCTCAAACACTGGGGCATGAACCTCTCCCTGAGAAGCCTGTTCTGGTGGCTGACCACCTTCTTGGTAACAAAATGCTTCCTAATGCCTGTTCTAAACTTCCCCTGGCATATCTTTGAACCATTCCCACACATCCTATCACTGGATACCAGGGAAAAGGGATAAACATCTCCCTCTCCACCTTCCCTCCTCAGGAAGCTGCGGAGAGCAGTGAGGTTGCCCTTCAATCTTCTTTTCTCCAAACCAGATGAGCCCACAGTCCTCAGCTGCTTCTCACAGGACATGCCTTCCAGCCCTTTCACCAGCTTTGTGGCCCTCCTCTGGACACATTCAAGGACCTTCACACCCTGTGGTACCCAGGTGAGGTACTCAGGTAAGGCTGCACCAAGGCTGAATACAGCAGGATAATCACCTCTTTTAACCAGTTGTTCATGCTGTTTCATGTACCCCATGATGTGATTTGTCCTCTTGGCTGCCAGGCCACACTGCTGACTTGTACTGACTGACTGCTGCTGACTAGTACCCACACATTCTCTCCCAGTGTATATTGGTGTCCATTGTTACTCTGTACTATGTGAAGGATCCAGTATTTGTACTTGGTAAATTTCATTGACTACCTAATGCTCAGCTGCTTCAAGTCTGGCTGCGTAGTCACTTCTTGAGTATTTTGAATTTTTCATTAGTCTACGTTTAAGGTAAGTTGCTCAGGATTGGAAATCCTTAAACTTTTTAAAGAATCCATGCTTTTGAGAGGTTGGTATCCTTATTATTTGCTGAAATTGCACAGTCTAAGAACATGCAGCTTAGTCTGAGTCATAGCAGCTTGTTAATTTAGCTTGAAGGCTATAAGTAAATATAAAGGCTGATATTTCTACCCGTTGGATTCTGTTGTAAAAGTGTCAGACGTGGCCGGGATAAGCCTAGTGCAAAGGTTTGTTTTTCACAGGCATTATGCTAGACATTGCTGGGGTGGGGAGGGAATAAGTTTGATATCACCAGGACCTGGCTGAAAAATCTGACTCTCTTTTATCAGAAGAAATTGAGTGCAGTGTTGAAAAAATGTCCAGGAAAATAATAAAGTAACACTTGTGCTCTTTGTTTCATCTGGAGAACACTGGAATATATTATTTTAAACTGTATTTGCTTAATATGTTAAAATATTTTTGTATTATGTAATAAACTTCAGTTGAACTAACTATGGGAATCTAGTATGTTCTTTTGACTGAATTTTTCTAAATATCTTTCATTTTTTTCTCTAGAAAAAATGACACTTAAAATATATTTTTTCTTGTAGAGGGATTGCTAATTTTTGATTTTGTACCTGTTACACCCTGTTTTAAACAAACTGAATTTTTCAATTCAATTTTAGGGAATTGACTGGCAGTGGAGGTGGGAAAGGGAGGGATCTTGCCTGATTTGACATTATCAGTTATGCATTGGTAAAATGAAAAAAGTTAATTGAAAAGCTGAACCTTCAGCTCCTTCAGAAGCATTCTCAAGCCTGTCTACAAGCTTGCTGCTTTCTTTTAGATGAGCTCAACAAATTCCTTTCCTTACTAACTATTCATTTGCTAACGGACAAAATTAACAGATATAATCAATATCATAGGGAAAGTGATTTTTAGGTTCTGAGGTTTTTGCATCTGTTTTTATTGTATGTGTTCTAATTATTTGAGGTCTTGAAGAGATTTGTGGACACTGAGTTACCTGTTCATTAAAAGCAGCAAAGGAGACTGTAATGTAACTTGGAGCCTGCTGTTCTGAAGGTCCTGTATGTTGAGGTTTGCTGTAGCTCTACTCTGTATGCTGACGAGAGAAACGGGGCACAAACTGCCTTCTAAACTGCCAGTGATCTTTCTGGGACCATCTGCCAAAATTTTCCATCTTTTAATCTCCTGAACTCTTACAAATTTGAGTAGTAAGCTGAAGGTATTGATAACTAAGCCATAAGGAGTAGAATGTTAAAGGGCACCAGATCTTGCCCCCGTGCTTTGTAGATTTTGGCTAAATGGACTTTGTAGAACACAGCTGCTCAAGCTTAATGGCTCTTCAAGAAGTCCTATGCTCTGCTTTTGCTAGACTGATGGTAGGTGCTCCTCTTCCCCTGTAGAAGGGATTTAGTTGAAACTTAGGGACGGGAGGTGTCTCTTAGCCTGTTCCTTCTCTTGATAAATGTTCAAGATAAACAGTCTGACATGACTGTACTTACAGTAAGAGATGCCAGGACAGGTGTCCCATTACAACAACCCAAAACAGTGGGTATGATGTGAGTCAAGGCAGCAGTGTTGGAGCTCACAGCTTGCTGAATGGAGTCCTTTGGAAACAAGAGCTCCTACTTTCTGCTTCCTCCAATACACTGGCATGCTCCCTTCCCAACTGAATTGTATAATTTCTTTTGTGTAACTTTTTCCAAGAGCCAGTTTTCTTTTGGAAATATGTAACTGTTGGATGTACAAAGGTTCTGGCAAGAGATGGATTTCTGTTGTTTGCCCCAGGTAATATGAGCTTCATAGTTTAGTTAATCTTGCTTGTTAAAATCCAAGCAAGAGGAATTGAAGAAAAACACAGCCAGTCTGGACTGTGTTTATGCAGTGCTAAGCATACTGTTCCAGTCAGAAGCCATGTGTATTTTACCTTTAAATGTACATTTGCTTCAGCAGTTCTTGCCTATTTCAGGTATTATAGAGAATAAAAATACATAGTAGACAGTCTTCACAGAGAGTGGCTAAAGCTAAACTGTATTGGGTAAGAGGTTCTGTCTATTAGTCTGGAAATTCAGATCTGATGCTGGATGTTGTGTTTAGGATGTGTAGCTAATTCTATGTCACGTGAGCCATTAGACATGTTAATACAGATGGAATTATAATGAACTATTTTTAACTTGCATACTGACAAATATTTACATAAATCCTTAAGTGGTAGGATTTCTCCTAAAGTTATCTTTTTAGAGCAAGCAAAAATCTTTCCTAGCTTGCTTTTCAAAGTCAGTGCTTTACCTACCTCCTAAACTTGGCTATTTTCTGAGAGCTGGCTTATTAGCAAAAAAAGGAAAACATCTCAGATTTTCTCTTGGCTACAGTTGGGGTTTATCCATTGGGACTCCTATACTTCTGATAGGAATACATGACTAACAGTTAAAACATGCAGCAGCTTAAGCTGCCCAAGAGAAGTCTTTAACATTTTCCAGTTAGACTTTTTTTCACAAAAAACCCCGCAACCCTGAAGCTTCCTAGTCCAAATGTCTGCAGATGTACAGGGATGAGAAGGGAGTATTATTGTGTTTTTAAAAGTACTAGGTCCTTTAAAGACTAATTTTCTTGGTTCTTTGATAATTAAATGAGTTGCCCACCTCACCTAGGGGGTTAGGTTTTGTGTGCATAACCAGTACTCTCAAAGACAATAAAAAGACTATAGTGATGATCTCTGGAGAACAGCACAAGCTTAATGTTTTTTCTTTTTTCTTTTTTTGTTTAACCCCTAAAGAAATGGTGAATATAATAGCTGGTTTTCACATACGTATTTTTTTCTACCTGAGGAATTTAAATATGGTGAAAGAAAATCTTCCTAGGGGGAGAAGATACTAAGCTTACGGGTGAGGAAAAAAAAAAGGAGAGATTCAAAAGGTTTTATTTTGAAAAATAAAAATTGGAGAAAAGGTTCATTAGTGTTGTGCTTTCACACTTAGCTTCTCTGTACATTACCTTGAGAGACTGTAATTTTATTTGATGTGTTTGGTACCATTAAATATTTGAATGAAGAAAAATAAGAATGGAAAATGAGGTCAAAGGTCTATGTATCCCACTTTAGTGGGCTAGCCTTCTAGCGACTTGCAGAGCTTCCAGTTCCTGATGTTTAAGGAAATAATATGAGAGCAGGCAGGCATAAAGTGAAGCTTTTCCCACTCTGTCAAATGCTTTCAGCAATCTGTGTCTTAGGGACTCTCATAGTCAAGGACTGTATCCATATCTTCACATTTAATAGTTCTTGTAGGACTTTCTAGCCCTAAGCTGTCTAAAGGAAAGCCTCCCCTAAAGCTAACCCAAAGGCAAACAGCAGATAGAAACAGGCTTAGTCTTTTTTCTTTTTAACATGATACTCTGTTACTGGATGCTTTTTGCAGTAAAAGCAGGATTGACATTTCCCTCAAAAAGAAGTTACAAGACTGCAATATCCAGACCATAAAAAATGGCCGGTTTGAGATGAGAGATGTTATGGTTTTGCTCACATAGGCTAGTAATACTTGCAGGATGGTTCTTGCAGCTTGATGAAAGGAAATTGGTGCTCTCATACCAGAGAATTGGTATGAAAGTACTGCTTATTGCCTTTCTGGGGCATGTCTATGGCAAACTTTATTTAATCCTGTTTATAATTTTGTCCCTCTAGATTTTCTATAATGTACCTATTATTGAAGTAGTGCTTCTTGAGATAAATACTGTATGTTTAATAGGCTCAATATTTTCAATCAATTTTCTTGACCAAAAATCACACTCAGGCAATTTTATAAGCACCCTGTAAGGCAAGTGTGTGTATTTGCACATTTATCCTCAAATGTAGGATGATGGCTCTGCTGAAGACTTTTATGAGAAGCATATTCAAATTCCTATTGTCTAATTCAAAGTACTTTTCACTAATAACATTAATTTAAAATGCATTAAATATTAACTTTCAAAAAGAAAATTAAATAAATGATTACTAAGGGGAATTAGGCACTTAGACACACTAAAACATAATAGGATTTAATTTGTTGAGAGTTCTCAGCCCTATTTCTTAAGTTCAGGCTTTTATGTACGAATTGGCAAGAATGTGGAGTAATGGCCCTAGATGGGATTTCTTTTGGTAACCTCCAAGCAAGATATAGAAAATCTAGTTTGTGAAATCCTGCAACAGCATTGCTGCTTCTTTGTTCAAAACAAAGCAACCAGTAAAACAAACTCACATGATGAATGTTTGTGTAGCTAGCCTACTTGGTAAACTGAGAATGATTAATCTGGTAGACAATTCAGTAAGGTAACCCCTGGGAAAGCAGCATCAAATATCAGTACCATGCTGCAGTATGTGTGTGCAGTACATCATAGTGTAAGTGTGGTATGAGACTGGCTTCTCCTTCAAGGCTATTATGTCCCTGCCAAATGCTTTTTCTCCATTTACTTGTTTTCCAGCCTGTGAAGTCTGTAAGACCAAATGCTTCAGGTGGTGAATTAGAAAGAAAAGTCTTTCTTGGTAGCTGTTCAGCATACCTCCCCCATATCACTCAGTGGGACAACTCCATATTACCTTTTGCTTTCCTGCTCCCTGATGAATGCAAATACCTGAGTGCTGCTGAGATCTGCCACCTTTGGTCATGTTCACCCTAGCATTGTTGTCCCTCGTCTT